CCCCCACTCTTCTCAACAAATTCCTCACCATTTATCAAGAAACAGACCATTTTAACTTAGACTCTTACGACGAAACTTACGGAAATAGTGATACTTTTGCAGACGAAGCTATGAATCAGGATAATAATTGTCCCCAAGCTCCTCTCCTTATTGATCCTAACGATGATGACGATCAACAACCTCCTGTCGTCCAAAATAACCAACAAAATGACCCTATGACATTCTTGGCTCATCAAATCGGCAACCTCATCCTCCAGATGCAGAATAATCCTGCTCTGCAGATCAACATACCCACTATTAACCTTCCTGCCCAGAACCGTGAGCCTAACCTGGTCTCCTATCCTAACTTTTCTGGTGGAGAACAAGACCCCATTTCGTGGCTAGAAGATGTTGAAAAGGCGTTCGAAGCTAACCAGGTTCATGATAATCGTAAGATCCCCGTTGTTATCCCTCATCTGAAAGGAACTGCCACCACCTGGTGGGTCGCCGCCAAAACTATTCGACCTGCAATAGATCGTTGGAACGATTCACTTCATCAAGGACAGAGTTTTCGTCCGCACTTTGCTGCTTAATTTCGGACCTCGGCTTTGGAAAGCAAATGGTTTGCTCAGTTGACTCAACGTAAACAAGGTCCTGCGGAAGAAGTTGATTCTTATTATGTATCCATCGAAGAGCTCCTTCGGTGTGTCGAATCGGGAGGACATCATTATCCTGGAACTGCGAAGGCCCAAATGTTTATTAATGGTCTTCGTCCTGAGCTCTCTATTGCGGTTTCCCCCTTTATGCCTAACACTCTCAATGCTGCTTATGAACGTGCTAAAGCATTTGAGAATTCGTTTAAACAAAATCTCCTCTATCATAACCCCTATTTAATAGCAATTCTCCACGTTTCTCCTTATGCCATCCCTAATTCGCTGGTTTCAAACCCTCTTTCTAACAACCTCCCTACAGTTGGTTCTTCTGTGATCGGTCCTCCTAAAACTGAGAAAGTCCTCATTAAACTTACTGAGGCCATTACCACAATGATGACAAAATTACAAAAACCCAAGGAAACCCCTGTAGAAACCCCGGAAATTGGAATAATGCTCCCCGGTATCCTTATAATCAGTATGAACAAGTGGGTCATTACGCTCAGAATTGTCCCAACCCGTTACCTCAAGCTGCTGGAAACAATATAGCCACCGGAAGTAACGCTATCCCTCTTGGACAGAATAGTGATGCTCGAAATAACCCTCTGGCAAATAATAATAATGTCTCTGCCCAGACTGAAGTGAATGAGACACAGGCTTTTTTGAATCTCCATGTCGAAGATGATGATCTCTTATTCCTTCCTGCCGAAGATTCTGAACAAACGGCCACCAATAAAAGACGTCGCACTGATGAGCCAGTTCTTGAAGGACAGGATGAAGAAATGACATCTCCCAGTAATACTGAGGGGGGCTCCAAAAAAATCAGCAACAGAAGCAAAGTTGGGTAGAGGTGGTGTCAAAACGGCTGTACCTAAAAAGAAGAAAGTCGAAGCTAATTCTCCGCAAATTTCCACTCTTATCCCTCAATACTCTATTATATCAGACATTCGTGATAAACCTGCTAATATCACGTTGGGACAACTATTGAAGGTAGTTTCATCTTTTCGCACAGATTTGGTTAAGAGCCTTCGTAGGACGAAAGCTCCCAAGAAAAGAGCTCGAAGCTTCGCTAATCTTCATTCCACCCCTAAGTCCACCGCGTTATACTGTGACGTGACGGTACATGGTAAAATTATTCCGCTCATTGTCGATAGTGGTTCTTCCGAGAGTGTTGTATCATCGCATTTGCTTGGG